AACAGTATCGACACGGGACATATCCAATTTTGCACAATAGTCAACAGTCAACAGTCGGCAGACGGTGTTTATCTGTACCTTGTGGTGTGTAGCAAGAGTATCGCAGGCCGGTATCAGCGCACGTGTCTATCAGACAATTAGCTTGTATTGTTGGCCACATCACACATATTTGGTGTAAGAGGTCACCTGGCCGTTTTGGAGTTGTCACGATGTGAAACTTCTCAGTTGAAAGTGGATAACTTAGAGAAAAGATGTTGCGTATTCTTGAAGGGACAGTATGTAGCAGGTAGGTCATAGTGTACTGATATGATGCCTTCTTAGATGAACAGTACCTCAAGTGTTGGTTATCTTTTCTTAATATTAAATCAAGGAACGTTGGGTACTTTTAATTAGAACTTAACTTAAGCCTCTCTGCCCTCTACGCTACAGGATGTATGTATACCTATGATAATTGTAATAATAATTTGGTACGTGTGACTCTAATGGTCAATGTCCTGACAGGGTGTCAATTATTTCTATAAACTGCTAAATACCGACAGAACACATTTGTGACTAAACATAGGATACAAAATAGTCTGCAAACAGCCACAAATTGTGTTTAATTGAGCATTACACTTAATTAGCTGTCAGTGTATCCGTCAGTATGTCATGTGGTACTAGACTACGTGCAATATTTATTTATTTATTTATTAACACTTCTGTATATAACATACGATGGCGGACTTAATGCCGGGTGGCATTCTCTAACAGTCAACCATGGGGTGATGCAGAGATGTGCAACAGTAGGTGTAATAGGTATAATGGTTTATGTGAAGCATAACTGTAAATACATACATATATCCGTATATATAGGTATAATGTAAATTACATAAGATACATTATCAATATTACTAAATAACAATACTATAAAAGTGAATAAATAAATTGGGAATAAAAATACATATAATATATATTTATAATATATATATATTTATACATATATATTAAATACAATCGCCAAAATGATAAATTAAGTAGGTGATGCGTCTGTCTGTTCCCTCTGCAATAGTTCACGAACCTTAACTTTAAAACTAAGCCGGCTGGTTGCCGTCCTGACATCCGTGGGCAGCGCATTCCACAGCAGAATGGATTGGACAAAGAATGAAGAGTGAAGGAAGTCGGTCCGGTGCGTGGGACATTGTAGAAGAAGATTATTAGTGGAACGAAGATACTTGCTGTGGTTTGCACTTATGAACTGAAAATAGGAGGATAGATAGCTAGGAGAAGTGGGGGAATTAAGAAGAGAGAATAAAGTGGTTAACGCCCGTTGTTTCCTGCGTTGACGTATGGGCAACCACTTTAGTTGCAACCGATATGCAGAGACATGGTCGTATTTACGCAGGTTAAAGACGAATCGAATGCAGTTATTTAGAAGGCGGTCAAGTTTATTGAGGAGATCTGCATTCAGGTCGTAGTAACACACATCAGCGTAATCAATTATGGGGAAAACCAAGGACTGAACAAGCATCGCCTTGGTCGACGACGGAAGGAAGTTTTTTAACCGATAGAGGGCTCGCAACGTCCCCGTGACTCGCTGACAGACACTAGTAACATGAGCACGCCAGGTTAAGTTGCCGTCGATGTGCAACCCAAGATTTTTGACATCACTACTAAATGGAATGACCGCACCGTCAAATCGGACTGGCGGTACCGTTGCACTGTTAACCTTGCACAAAGTGCGGGAGCTACCTACTATTATCGCCTGACACTTGCTCGGGTTGACATTAATGCCAAATTTCCCAGACCAGATTAGGTCTCAGCAATAGTTAGGTCTCAGCTGATAGCTCTAGGTACGGGTCGTGATAGCTCGTTGATACGCCAGTAATGGACGTGACATTGCCTAGTTATTGCCTATTTATAGAGTGGACGAGCAAATACTGCCCACTGATAGCCACGCCTGTGTGTACTCATGCTATTAGACAGGTGACCTAAAATACTAAACTCGTATTGATTTGTATTCGATTCATAAATTCGATATATATGGTTTAAAATATTGTAGTTGATGATCTGGATCTTATTACGTTACTAATAAGAGTTAATTAGCGTAACATCCTCGTTAATGCGCAGACCCCATCGTTCGACAAATCCTCCATGGTAGGACGCGGGTCGTACGAATCAATTTGTCGACGTTAACTAAAGTACAAACTTTCTAACAACGTAATTAGTATACAATGAATTCCCCATCATTCAGGCAGCCATGGTAAGTAGCCATGAAGCTCGCTCCCCGCCTGAGTGCGCAGGCGCAGTCCCATGCTGTTATAGCCCCATTAGTGTGCTGATGAGCTTAATCGTGGCTCAGCGATAAATGAACGAGGCAAAGTGACGTATAGCAATATAATTATAATATTTGTTTGTATGAGTAATTGTGTAAGTTTTCAACGAGAAAATGAACCTTATTTAAAACATTAAACGAAGCAATGATAGGCTGCCCCAAGGGTCAGACCTAGGACCTTGTATGCTTGTGACTACCAAAGCAATAATATAGTTGTTTTAGAATCTGAAAGAAGAACTTGACGCAGTTTCAACAAGAATCGGAAAACGTGCATATCTCGGCAGCTAAATGCAGTACTAGCAGCTCAGCCCCTATGGTTCCCGTAGCTTGTAGTGTAGACAGGTGGACAGTGTGGACACGACACCCATTAGACAGTACACGCAGGACATGCGAGCACACGTGCATGCTGTGCATGCTAAGTCTGCCGTCATTAAGTCTTGAGAACACGATCAATTTATTTATATCCACTTACTTTGATGAATAGGAAGTTTTAGCATGTATATGCAGAGTAGCTTTTATACATCTTCGAGTAATGTTCTCCACTCTTTATGAGTTTCAAGGCAGTTCCTCACTTATCACTCAGAAATGTAAGGGTCATACTGGTTGTACCTACATCCCCAAATCCTGGACTAAGATGGATGGTTACTATACCATAGAATCAAACGCAGAAACTTGTGTTACGCAGTCACTTACTGTCCCCAGACTGACGTGATAATTGCTTGAACAGGATTATCACATCCCATCGGCAGTAGCGAGACAATCAATCACAATATGTCTAGCGTGACATGGGCCGCCATTACCCGCCCACTGTCCACCGGTGCACCGAGCTACTGAATCACTGATGCAATGCGATTACCGACACTTACACTCTTACAAGGTCTTACAGGGCTTACATACAAAAAACAACCACTTTTGTAAAAATTATAATTGGTGACAGATTGCAAAATTTTTCGGATATGTACCCATGCGATGACGCTTTTATTTTGTGTGTGTGTTTAAAAAAACGTTGCCCCACACTAGGATTTTCTCCTGTGTCGTGGGTGCGTTTACAAATATACAAGTTCACATACACAATGACACCCAGACCCGAAACAACTTATTTGGAAGGGCTTAGTTGAATCTAGTTGAATAGTAAGTCTTTGATACCACACTAGATAGGAAAATGAGACGAAATTCCGAAGTTACAGCAGCCTTATTTATAAAGAGACCACGACAACCTCCATTTCTTCCTATGTACCGCAATCCGTTCAATAAACTGACATTTTTCTTGTGTTACCTTCCTTGTCTATAGGATACTGTTTATTTTGCCGCTGCTGTATAAACCGCCATTGTTGTGCTCATTGTGGCACTTTTAGTAACGCATTTATCGTTATAATAATGACCCGAGAGTACGGCGCGTCGCGTTCCGCGCGCGCCTCAAAGAGCCATCAGACCACCACAGATGGGGCCCAATAGGGCCAATGCCGATTCGGAGTCGCGGAGAACCTAACGGGTAACCGGGGCTCCGACTCGACGTGCAGGAGAAGGAACGGGGTGGTTTTTAGTCAGTAAGAGTCTGACACTCCCTTCCGCCTCACCCAGGCGGGAGCAGTCATTCGATGATTTTCCCCCCTAGAAAAAAAAAAAAAAATCGTTATAATAATATTATCATCAGGTTCCGCCCGGGTCAAATTGAATTACACGCAAAATGCATTTTTAAATTATTACATTGGCAGATTCAATATACCTACACTTATTTCCCTTCTTCTACTCAATTGGTCAGGTGTTCCTCAATACTACGTCATAGAGCATTGACTTATCGCTATTATATTTACTGTCACTTATCACTTAAGTGACTATAATATCTCTGTTAGTTATGAGCTCCTGGTAGTTGTCGTCCCATTCCATTGGGACCCACTACTCATGTATTTACCTTTTCTTCTTACTCTACTGAGACGATTATGTGTTCCATTTTTATACAATTCTGTGGTTTCTTAATTTGCAACTGAAAAGTTTCAAATCTGTTCTAATACTTCCAAAGTTCTGTGTAGACCCTGGGCAAGGTGCGCAGGATCATCTAAGCGGTGGCTGTGCGGCGATTAGTATCGAACTGGTGACGTCACTGGCGCACGAGTCGGGATCAGGTGTGCCCCTAGTGAATCGGGTTAGGCGTTTAACAATAGAGATAAAAAACTACATAACATATAATTTAGGGAAAATTTGTGTTCGTAATTTGGTCGTACGTAAGTAAAGGTACGTACGTACTTTACTTATGTTAAGTTGTAAACAGACTATCAAATGTAAATAAAGTTTCCATTTTACGAATTAATTAATTATTTTCAGCGTTACTTTATTTGCAGTCAATGTCCTCATTAAGTTAACAGTTCTTGTTTGTTCCACATTGATAACAGTGTTTTTATTCAAATGTTCAATTTCACCGTCTTCGGAGTTTTTTTCCTTCTTACTTGTGTGACTGATTACAGTGAAATATAAAGTGATGATTGTGTCTAAGCCTTTTGGAATGTTCATTCGGTTATTCATACTGGTTGATGACAATTCTTTAGTTTAGAGAACGCAGTCACTCCGTCATCGTCCTGGAATTACAATATTCGTAATGTCTCGTGGTGTTGTTGTTGAACAACTATGCTATGTCTACGTGACTTCAAATAATATGAAAACATGTTTTATTCTTCACTATATTATTATTTAGGTACATAAAACTACCAACATCGTCATCCTACACATTGCATCATGCATGTTCATAAACAAGAGTTTTTGTCATCATAGTTGATTTTGAAGTTCTAAATCTTCGTAGGCGAGGTCGTTTTGGAAGCATTACTTAAATATGGTCTAACTTTTAATGTCACCACTAAACTTATCTTGTCCTTCCTGCCTTGAATAGAATATTATTACACGAGCTTTGATTTTATCTGACAACAAAAAATGCTGGTTTTTGCCAAATAGTGCAAAATATTTAGCAAAAGGATCAGCATCATTTGTCCACGGACTTAGCGTGGGTGCGTGGTGCACGGATCGAGCGATTGTTTCATCTAGCGCCCCCGCGCCGATTAGTGGCGACGCGCACTCGCCCGCCCGCCCGGCCAAGTGTCGCTCGTCTGTGCCTTACCTTACACCGCCCAGCCTTAGTCTCCAGGATCACTTTGCAGGACACGCTGCCTCTGTATTTGATTCACATTGGTGAGTGATACAAATCATACGCTTGGGTATAGGAAAATTGTGGAAAGGAAAATAAGTGAAAAATCATCAAGGTACGAGATCATTTTTAAACCAATTTTAAATAATAAAAATTTACGATAACAATTGGGTAATTTTTGAAACTGATATTTTTCTTATAAAATATTTACTGCGCTATCAGGGCAATCTATGAGCAATGCTTTGATTTGTCAAAACACCAACGATTTCTTAGGATTAAAGGCATTCACTGACATAATCACATAATATCTATTCCTGCGTAGGCTTGAAACTCGAGAGTAATCAATTTATCGGCAAAAAATATGAAGTGGCACTAAAACATCTTTGTCTATTATAAGGAGCTGAAGTTAAATCAAGAAAAAAACTGTTTTAAAGTCAGTGAGTGTGGGCTCGCCGGTGGGCTCAGCGTTTGTCTTGTCATCTGCTACACAAACATTGTATTTGTTGTAACACTTCAATTCGTCTCTTATGACGTTGGAGTACTTGGAGATTTTTGAAATTCTAGTGAACATAATTAGTTTTCATCCGCCGATCATTAGTTTTATTTACCATGATTATTTCTCAATGCTTCTTCTAGTTCTAACTTCTTTCCCCTGACTTTCTTCTAATATTACTTCAAGGGAGGAGTAATATTTCTGTATGTGTATCGACAGCAATATTGATTAACGATACTGCTTTCATCATGTCACTATCGACAAATCATCGACGCGTGCGTCATCAAATGATCTTGTATCGTATAACAGTACGGACATTTTCTCAGTAATCGCCAGTTGATCATGATGTACAGAGCCTCTTTATCCTGCACCGGCGACAGAAATATGGCATGACTTCATCTCCTCCTCAATGTCAGCCAATGTCTTCCGAAGCAATAAACATTCAGCTTCATTTGCTACCTACTGTTACTAGATATCTCCTTCGTCGTTTCCTCTATAAGTACCTATATTTGAGTTGATCAGATCGCTTACCACCATTAGTGACAAGTGTTACAATCCCCGGCTTGTTTACAATATGTTTGGTATTTAGTATATCTTATTAATTAGGTATGACGATCGTTATGTATGAGGTCCAAGCATAGATACTAGAGGTAGGTACTACATTTATACTTAAAGTGTTATTATCATTTTAGCAACCAATTAGTGTTTCTATATTTAGTTACTTAACGTCATAATGACAGGTAAATAAATAACAATGAGGAATTGTGACAAAACATTTGTTTTCCTCGTAGTTTTTGATATTGTTTGTTATTCCTGGCAATAATGTCTCATCTGCAATTCTTAGAAAAAAAATACTGATTTATAAAATCGTCAGAAATGTAAAATTTTTAATGTAAATCAGTGTTCTCAACATTTACATTTAGAAACAAATAATTACTATTAGTATGCTGTTTATTGAAATGTTTGAATCATCAAGATTTTATCTATCTAGTATCCTATTTTTTATTATCCTTTGAGGTAATCAAGTTTAATAAATATTGTTCGTATTGACAACATTATGATCTATTTATACATTGTATGGAGTTATATTTTCCGCTGATCCCTGTCGCACCCTGTTAGCAATGCATCCATAATTCCATATATCATCAGAAGTTGACAAAATGTACCCTTTGTTGAAGTTGCAGCTTGGTACAATTCAGCCTTACCAACCCAACTCCTTAAGATAGACAGTAGTCGGTGTTGCAGTTGGTTTTCTTGAAATTGCGTCTTAATTTAATCTGCGGACATATGCAATGTAATGCATACCGCGAAACATGTTTGCAATGAAAACGAATATAAATATTTTTCGATGCATTCTGTAACTCCCTGTAAACCTTCGTAGGGAGAAAAGGCTACAATATAGTGACGTCACTCAGCCAGCTAATCCTTGACACTAAAGCCTGAAACCTGTCCTTATGACTAATATACTTACGCCAACATTTATAAAGCAGCCGTCGATGTGTGCGTGAGTAATATCGGTGTGAGTGCGCAAGCGCATTGAACAAACATTCGACACTCAGTCAAAGAAAATTATGTAAAACGGTTGGCTATACGTTGTACGTCAGTGTGTAATTATATTATATTAACTGTCATTTATGTAATATTGAAATTGTAATGTTTTGCTGAAGTGCGCTGGCAATGATTTGAGTGATAACAGATTACTGTCAAGTGTTAAATAACAAGTAGAGTGATGTACTTAAAACTGGCTATGTATGTGTTTACTTAAAATAATAATTAAGTGAATATAATTAAACCAACTGTGGAGACTGTCAAGTAAGTAGTTAATGTTAATAATCAGTTAGTACAGCGGTAACAGTGGTCGGACTGACTGCTTATGATTTAAACTGTCAAACACCAAGCGGTCACCGGTGACCGCAACCTATTGTTCTATAGTTGTGTCTACAAAACCGGTACTCGACGAGTTAATTATGAATCATAAATTATGATTATGTGATCGTTTATCTTATTGATTTTATTGATGTATCATCGTCTTGTGTGATCTAATTGGCAGTTTTACGAAATCGTTTAATATATTCCTTTAAAAACATTTGTTGCAAATATGAGTGTAGGGAAATTAATTGAGCCGCGGAAAGCCTAACGGGTTGCCTCGTTCCCGGCTCACAGCGCAGGAGTAGGAACGAGGGGTCTTTAGTCGGTATGAGTCTGACTCTCTCTCGCCTCACCCAAGGCGGCAGAAGCAATTGTATTTAGTATGGTCGGCATCAATAGTAAAAAATACTTAGTTTTTTGTGGCAAGAAATGTATTGTTGACACCTAACATCTTAGAACAAGCCAGTTTTCTTTATAGGTACACATGCACACAGCATTAATGCACACACACCTACCTATAATACTGTTTACGTTATTCTCACAAAACAAGGAAACTTCTTCCAGTACCTTCTACTGTTCATATAACAATAGTTCCTCCCTGGCCTACTTAGGCTGACACAATACGAACCCTCGGAGCGTGTACTGCGCAGACGCACCGGCCAGTCCTCCCGGACCGGCTCCGGCGCGACATGCCGTGAAGGCTAGCCAAGTAACGAGTGCGCTTGTACTGGGGAATGTACTACTCCACAACCCAAGTAAATTACGCATGTATGTTTTCCGAATAAAAGACAGATGTACCTGCATTTCAGACTATAAATACTGTCTATCTACTGTCTTACACGGAGGTCCGTTCGGTACTTGATACATACATTTTTTAATTGTTGGGGGTGAGTTCTACGGCTATCTATTGTGTCACCTTACCAAATCTTTGTTTTTGAATATTATGTATACTTGAAGAGGTCTGCTTAACTTGTAGGTCAATAGTGGGACGGCAGATGGTATTAGTAGGATGGGCGCTGCGCTAAGTAGAACGGGTCGTGTCTTATGCAACGATCTCCATGTTCTATGCCTCTATAGCATTCCAAGTGTCGTGGTCAGTTACACTCACTATCACTACACAGTCGTATTTTGTCTAGTCTTAGACGACAGTGTTATTTTTTCAATATTGTGCTACTTCAGCTAGTCAGTTTACTCCCGTGTGTGAGGTCGTTTACATAATCCATATATCGCATAGGTACACATACACCGCACGTACACATATCAACAGTTTGTAGTTCACATTAATAGCGATCTCTTCTTTTACACGTACATTTAATATTGCATCCACCGCACAGTCACAATGCCACCTTTTTATGGTGTAAACCGGTAAACGAGCAGACGGATCAACTGATGGTAAGCAATCGGCGTCCTCCATGGACACTCGAAACACCAGAGGCGTTACAAGTGCGATACCGACCTTTTGGCGATTAGTAGTTTTAGGATTGTTGGGGATTCAGAGATTGGGGAAGAGGGGGGCTGTAATTGGGCCTCCAGTAATCTCACTCACACGACGAAGAACCTCTGATCACTTTCGGTATAATTTGGTTAAACTCATCCGAATTCCTAATTTGTAAATACCTACTTATTCATAGTGTTAATTCCCAGTGATAATTTCCCACTATCTCTAGAAAGTCAAGTTAAGTCGGATGTTGGCTCATGTTTTGAGAAACAGGCGGCGGCGACGCGAGGCGCTGGCGTCGAGTTGCGTCCGCCAAAACATACCACTCTGCACGCTTCTAGGAAAACAGATGGTGCGAACACAGATCCTTATACTGCAACTACTAGCCTGCTATGTATGACTTCTTACGATTTAATTTAGGCTATTAACACAGATTGGATTATAACAGAAACAAATAAGGCTGGACGTAATATGAAACGTAGAAAGGGTTAAATTTTAGGAATGTAATTTTGAACATGCATTTTTCATTAATGAATACCTTTCGATGGCATAGTAACGTGTTCTATTTGACCCTCAGTAGTGTCATGGTCTCACGGTGCGACTAAATCAACTCGGGCCGGTCCGTGGGCGAACTAAACACTTTAAATGGCATTTAGCCGGCCGTATTAGGTGCTGGAAAAAAATAACTTTTATTTGCCGATCCTCCGAATATCTTTACCTCTTTGGGAAACTTGCGATGATTTGGAAACTCAAACGTTATGGTGTTTGATATAAGGGTTACATTCGATAGGGACTCGGTTTAGAGTGTGACTGCTTTGGTAACTTGTTTGTAATCCAGTTCTATTTCACAAAGTCAAGGATACATTTTAATTGTGTTCCTTATGCGATGTTCGCTACAGATACAGTCAATTGATTTATATTGTGCAACAGAGCTATCGGTTTTTTTCACTTTCATACAAAAACACATAATAGATGAATATCTCATACAACTACGGTGATTGTAAAGAACCTAATAAATGTACGATATTGACATCTCAATGATGTTGGTGTCGGTGGCGCGGCGTCACGTGCACGCGTGTACAGATGCAGCTCATGTAACATGCACACTACTTGACAAGTTGACAACATAATACACGGCTATTATTTGTAATATCTGTTTGAAATTGCTTTAATTTGACAATATTTAACACTAAAGGTTTCCTTCACATAAGCATACTCCATGCTATAGTAAATTCTATGTTCAA